GGTACACATAATTACTAAACATTAGTGGACCTGCCAACAATTCCCAGAATGGACTGGCTCGGAACCCAATTAAGATAAGTAAAAAAAAAGGCCCATTAACCAAAACGAAAGCTCAATGACCGAAAACCCTAGCCCATTAAGGTTGGATCCGAAACCATCTAGAGGATAGAGTTTTTCGCTGCACGCCAGAACTTCCGATCGCAAGAGCGACAGAAGCTACGACTTTGACAGTGAGAGGAGGAGATGTCTCATGGTCGCAACTGACGGCAAAGAAACAGAGACTCTGGAACCGTACTCACCTAACCAATCTAGGAGGCTTTATGCCGATAAACCTACCAGACGGATAGTAGGGCCAACGATCCAAAAACACCCGATCCAACCATAGACAACATGAGACAAAACCGACCACCACCTAGTGCCAGAACTAATGAACGGTAACGAGAAACACCCGAAGCGGTTTCGTTAACTGTTACTGCAGTAAACGAAGACCACAACGACAGCCATGAACCACTGACCGGAGAAAAAAGAAGGTAAAGATGGACTTTAGTGACGAGGAGAAGCATCTCTTTAGAGAGAGGAATAAGACCGGCAGAAGAGGGAGAAAATCTGGAGGCAAGTCACCAGGAGAACTCTGAAACACGGACATATCCGCTTTCTCCAAGGCAAACCACCGCATAGGAGAGACATCTAAAGAAACGCTGCGCATAAGCATCTCACCACCTGACCACTCCTAGGTCTTCAGATCCACCACCACATCGACACTGTAGAACAAAACACTTGAAGATCTCATCACCCACAAGCAATCAGACCAGATCCAAAGAGATCCGGTGAAGAATCCCACAAAACCCGCTATGAAAGCCATCAGAGAGACTCAGAGCCACCATGCAATTTCCGGGGAAGGTGAACAGACCGCCAGCTACTCATCAGCATCGGGTCGTCGCCAAAGATGAAGCACCATAGATCGCAAAAGGATGCAGTCGAGAGAGGCCCTTTCGCAACGCCGGCGAAAGCCGAACTCAGATTGTTTGGAGAAGATGGAAAAGGCAGACGATGAAGAAGACCGGTGACTAGGGCAAACGCGGATTGTTTGGAAAGAATGGAGAGTTTTTTCTCTCACTAGCTTCTCTCTCGATATACTGAACTTCCAAAACTCAATTGTGTGGTAGTGGTTGAAAAATAAAAACGATGTGAATCATGAAATATTCTATAACCAACTAATATCCTACTACTTTCTTTAACCAACACGTATTCACACTAATTTCACATCTCTTACTAACTGAAAAATAAACGTGTGCTTTATCTTGTCACAAGTTTATTAGGGTTTGAAAATTGTGAGAGAAAATGTATTACTCAAATATCATGTATTCATGTGCGTTTGTTATGCTGCTTAAGAAAAAAAAAATTCTCCTCACATAAAATGGAGGGGAAAATAGTTCTGTTTTTACCGGATTAAGATAATTAAATGGTATTAAGAAAAATAGTTTGATACTTTTATAAATCGAAGTGGCAAATAACGAGAAATATAAAGGACATTCTTAGTTTATGTTGTTGAGAAAAATCATTTGGTGTTTTGGCAGATAAATTTCAGAGAGTATGAAGTATAAATAATCACTAAAATATATGATCTGCCTACGGTTTTGTCAATCAAGAATCTTGGAAGAAATCATTTCAAAATATAAAGCATTACCTGTTCAAAAACAACTTTACGAAAATAATTTTAAAAGTAATTGTCTTTCGAAAATCGTTAGGTATAAGTGGAATTAGTTCCAATCGACAAAGACGTATTAAAAACGTGAGAGACTATTTTTCTTGTTTTTTTGAAAAATCTAAAATCTATTTTTCACATAAACAACGGTCTCATTTTTATCTGTAACCATTATTTTGTTTTCTAACGTTAAGTATAATTTTACAAGACAGATTCCCCAACCTTTTTGTGTTATAAATTTTAGTTTGATTACTTTTAAAACTAAGAAAAACAATTTAAAAAGCTCCTTTAGTAAAAAGCTACTTTAGTTTCGAATATTTTACAATTTTAAATATCCTATAAATAGTCCACCAAGGAGCTTATTATATTATATCTTATCATTCTCTATCCGACTAAAAAAATGGCAAGCGAGTGTAGTTTACTAGGGGTAATATTGGTATTTACTCTCTTCCGTGACCTTGTCACCGTCTCCGGACAGAATATTCCGGCGGTGGGTTTGTTCTCATTTGGTGATTCCAACTTCGACGCCGGAAATAGAAAGTTTCTCACAAAAGCTACGGTTGCTCAAAACTTTTGGCCTTATGGTAAATCTCGAGATGACCCTAATGGCAAGTTTTCCGATGGTAAAATTGTCCCTGACTTCATAGGTAAGTAAATTATTTCAGCTCTGTTTTTTTCTCCAAAACTTTTAGTTTGTTCATTTAAAAATTATGTCCGAAGATGGTTGCCAAATATAAATACTAAAATTAATTTAAAATGGGTTATGTTAAACAAGCAAATTAAAAAAGAAAATGATAGGAAAGAAAGAGAAGGTAATCTAGATATTGCAAAATATCTTGTTATATATGCGTGAAATGATTTATAATGTAACGAAGTAGTTATTGTTAAGGTCCAAATTTTAATCATACTTATTTCTTAAGTATTTTAATTACACGAGGAACACGTTATATTATTATTTTTTAGAGAAAGATAATGTTTTCCTCTATCAGTTTGTGAGAAAAGGTTAAAATAACTTTAAATTTAAAGAGAAAAATATTTAGGTATTTTTTAACTTATAATATAGTACTCTTTCCATTCCATAAACATCAATTTGATTTTTTTATTTTCTTCATGAAGATTGATTTGTCAGTTTTCTCAAGTACTTGATGTACTATAATTAATGTTAAATTACAAATTTCAAAAAGAAAAGTTGATAAAAAGATTGGTTCATAGTTATGAACAAATGTTTAGTATGAAAAATCAGTTCATGTATAATTTAGTAGAGGTAAATTTTCACAGCAAAATTCATGGGGATTCCACACGATTTACCTCCGGCGTTTAAACCCGGCGCCGATCTCTCACGAGGAGCCAGCTTTGCCGTCGGTTCTGCTTCTATTCTTGGCTCTCCCAAAGAATCTGTAAGCTCACTTAATTATTTACAAATTTGAGATTTTTTGCTTTGATTAACAAATGATTAATGATATTACAATTTTTTTTTTTGTAGTTGACTTTGAATCAACAAGTGAAGAAATTCAATCAGATGATATCAAATTGGAAAGAAGATTACATTCAGAAATCAGTTTTTATGATACAAATTGGAACTGAAGATTACTACAACTTTACCAAGAACAATCCTAATGCTGATATTTCTGCTCAACAAGCTTTCGTCATTTCTGTTACTAACCGATTAAAGAACGATATCGGCGTAAGTTTGTATTTTCCATCTAAAAATTAGTCGAAAAAATTAATACGAGTTGTTGATATGTTACTATAATGTGTTAATTGCAGTTGTTGTATTCATCGGGAGCTAGTAAATTCGTCATACAAACGTTACCGCCCTTAGGTTGTTTACCGATCATGAGACAAGAGTTCAATACCGGTAACGATTGTTACGAGAAACTCAACGATTTGGCCAAGCAACACAACGCTAAAATCGGACCAATAATGAACGAAATGGCGAAAACCAAACAGGGTTTTCACTTCACCGTTTTCGATTTCTACAACGTTATTCTTCGTAGGACACAAAGTAACATGAATTACCGTAAGTATATATAATTTACCGTACGTTTTACGTATATACTTGGAACCAACATTTTGATAATTAATAGTTGTTCTGACTGATCAGGTTTCTCATTTACGAATATATCATGTTGCGGTATTGGGACACATAACGCATATGGTTGCGGTTTACCTAACGTTCACTCGAAGCTATGCGAGTATCAAAGATCTTACCTTTACTTCGATGGACGTCATAACACAGAGAAGGCACAAGAATCATTCGCGCATCTTCTCTTTGGGGCTGATCCAAACGTTATACAACCCATGACCATTCGTGAGCTTATTGTATATCCTCTTGATGACCCCATGCGAGAGTTTTGGGAAGATCCAATGGAGAAGAAGTTATCGTTAGTTCAGAACGTTGTTCATGACTTTGATGCTAGTGGATCTATGTAACTCGTCTAGTTCTTGAGCTCAGTATTTACCATCTCCCTAGATCAAGTACGAGGTGAGCCCTGCGAGTTTGTAATGCATTGGTCTTAATATGTTGAGAATTAAAATAAAATACTGCGAGTATGTAATGCATTGGTCTTAATATGTTGAGAATTAAAATAAAATAATGTTTTCCTATGGTTTTTGGAAAATTTATGAAGACATGCACGTTTATTGAAGGTACTAGGCCTCGTCAATCGAATCAACAATTACCCTCACAAGTCACAAAATTAGTTTTCTTTAAAAGATATAAGATTTTTTTTACTCATTGTTTTCAGAGAGGTGTAGTCGAATTCCAGTGTCTTCGGTTAAATAGTTTAATTTTCGAAAAGCCTCAAGTAGAATTGGACTGCAATAATTTCGAGACATTTACAAAAATGTCACTTTTGGTGTCCATTTGCAAAAATGCTACTAATTATGATTTTTTAGAGCCTAAATTTTAAATTTATAAACCCTAAAAAATATTTTGACCCCTAAAACCCCTTAAACCCTCAAAACTAAACTC